GGTTCAGGTGCTGTCCCTGCTGCTTCTAGCGTCGCCGCGCGGCCTCGACCGTACTTCGTTCCACTCCTGCAGCAGGTTCTTGGTCTTCCACCTTCTACTGGTCCTCCTCCTCCCTTAGAGTGTCCACAGCCTGTCTCGTCCCAGCTACAGTTGCAGCCTACCTCCCCTTTGCCTGCTCCTTCTCCCTACACTGGTCCTACTGGAGGTCTGGCTGAGCGTCGTGAGCCTGCGTCTCGCCCTGCGTCGCCTGTCCGTGCTGCTCGCACTAGTGGTCGCGGTTCGCGTCAGCGTCCTCCTCCTGTCCCTGGCACGCACCGGATGTCTCTACGTCCGTCCACTGCTCCTCTCCCTGCCCCTTTGCCTTCTCCTCCTGAGTCCTCTCTTCCTGCTCTTACCGACCCGGAGTCGGACTCTCTTCGTGCTGCCAGTCCTACTGTCACGCGTCTCCTTGCTACTGTTGTCACTGACCCTTCTTTCGAGTCTACTGCTGCGTCTGCTCTCGTTACTGAGCTCGTCGACTTTGCTGCTCGCTGTCGCTTAGACTACGCTGCTAGTCTTGTCGCTGAGTCTGAGTCTGTCTGTCCTCCGTCCGTCGGGGGTGAGTGTGCCCTTGGCACGGACGTCCTTGAGGACAGGCAGGAGGAGTTCCAGTGTCTGGCAGCTGCCTCACCTCATCTCGTGTCCGTACTGCTTACCCCTGAGGGAGACCCGGATGCACTTGACATCCCGACTCCGCGCTCTTACGCGGAGGCGATAGAGGGTCCCTACTCCTCTCAGTGGCAGGCAGCTATGGATGCAGAGATGGCTTCCTGGAAGTCCACAGGCACCTACGTTGACGCTGTCCCCCCTCCTGGGGCGAACATCGTCAGTGGCATGTGGATCTTCAGGGTGAAGCGGCCGCCGGGTTCTCCGCCTGTCTTCAAGGCGCGTTACGTGGCTCGTGGCTTCAGTCAGCGGCAGGGAGTTGACTACTTTCAGACCTTCTCCCCCACCCCGAAGATGACCACTCTTCGGGTACTGCTGCACGTTGCTGCTCACCGTGACTACGAGCTGCACTCTCTTGACTTCAGCACAGCTTTCTTGCAGGGCAGCCTGCACGAGGAGATCTGGCTGCGTCGCCCACCTGGCTTCACTGGGTCTTTCCCTCCTGGTACCCAGTGGAGTCTCCGGCGTCCAGTCTACGGTCTCCGCCAGGCGCCACGTGAGTGGCACGACACACTGAGGACTACGCTTGCGGCTCTTGGGTTTGCTCCTTCTACTGCCGACCCGTCGCTGTTTCTACGCACCGACACCTCTCTGCCGCCGTTCTACATCCTCGTGTACGTCGACGACTTGGTCTTTGCCACAGCTGACACTGCTGGACTCGCCTACGTGAAGTCCGAGCTGCAGAAGAGACACACGTGCACAGACCTGGGTGAACTGCGCAGCTACCTTGGCTTGCAGATCACCCGGGACAGAGCACGCCGCACCATTACCCTGACTCAGTCACACATGGTGCAGCAGGTCCTTCAGCGCTTCGGCTTCACGTACTCCTCGCCTCAGGCCACTCCTCTGTCTACTCGCCACTCGCTCTCAGCTCTGCCTTCGGATGAGTCCGTAGAGTCGAGTGGCCCGTACCCAGAGCTTGTTGGCTGCCTCATGTACCTGATGACCTGCACACGACCTGACCTTGCATACCCTCTTAGCATTCTTGCACGCTATGTTGCTCCTGGGAGACACAGACCAGAGCACATGGCTGCATCGAAGAGGGTGTTGCGCTACTTGTGCAGTACGTCGGGCATGGGGCTAGTGCTTGGAGGGCGGAGTCCAGTGGTCCTCACTGGGCACGCGGACGCTTCTTGGGCTGACGACCAGGCTACGCAGCGGTCGTCACAGGGTTACACCTTCAGCCTTGGTTCCGGCTCTGTTTCGTGGCGGGCTACTCGCTCGTCTTCTGTTCTTGGCTCGAGTTGTGAGGCTGAGATCTACGCCGGGGCCATGGCTGCACAGGAGCTTCGCTGGCTCACCTACCTGCTGACCGACCTTGGAGAGCCGCCTCGTTCTCCTCCAGTCCTGTACGTAGACAACAAGGCCATGCTGGCCTTGTGTCGAGAGCAGCGACTGGAGCACAGAACAAAGCACATTGCTCTCCGCTACTTCCTTGCTCGTGAGCTACAGCAACGTGGACAGTTGCGGCTTGCGTACGTGGCCTCTGAGGCCAACACTGCTGATGTCTTCACCAAGGCACTTCCGCCTTGTGATCATCAGCGCTTCTGCACTCAGCTGGGTCTTGTGCCCGTCTTGCCTCACTTGCTCTCCTCTTGACCTTGCTTGTACTCTCACATATATATATACCTGCTCTTGCTTGTCTAGCTTTATATATATGTGTGTACTCTTGCATGTGAACTGGCCGTGTGGCCTTGACCCTGTGCTCGGACTGTGTGGTGACTTTGTGATCCACCCTGAGCTTGCTTTGCTTTGCTTTGCTTGACTGGTCTTGTGACCCCTTGTTCTCCCCCACTTTGCCTATGGGGGTATGTCAGAACATTATAGCTTATGCTGTTGTGTAGGCTATAGTGGGGTATCCCATAGGGGGTACAACCAATTAGGGTTTCATATTTGTACTCACTTCATTTTCATAGTTCACTCATTCTCGTTCTCATTATCACATCTGGACCGTTGGGCAGACAGCATCAGGCAGCAGCAGTGGCGAGGATTCTGCCCAGGCAGTTTGTAACCGTCTGGAGTCGCACGGTTGGGTCTCGCCATAATAAGGGAATGTACCCTTTAGAGTACATGGCTAGCTAGGACGCTTGGTATTCCCCTGTACTCTTATTCATATCCCTTGTACTTGCATGTTTTAATTATCTCAAGCATTTTACATTCACTCTGCTATTGAGGTCCATGGCCCACCACCAACACCTAGTCTTGTGCGAACCTTTCTGAGGTGATCCTAGGGACGATCACTTTCTGATCGCAGCACCCGTCACCATGTATCATGGTCCATATGCACATTACCTTACGCGCCACTTAACCAATCAGAGCTCACCGATCCGACCCTTATTGCTTGAGCTGTTAGCATCGCAAGAACTGGCTTGTTAACGTGTTAACAAAAGATGCTATTTGGTTCTGTATTGTTATATTTTCAGGTGCCGTTAGTGAGATCCTTGTTCCCTTGTTCTAATGGAATCATACATTTCTTCACAGCATTCTGTGTTTGAGATGCATATTTGAGGTTGGATGTTTGGGTCTTATTGTGATCGTAACCGTTCCGATTCTAATGGGGATTTTGCGTCTGCAGGGTTGGCGGTTGGACCAGTTGTATGCTACAGTTCGTGTTGCTGAAACGAGTTGATGGTTCGATATAATTGCGCCCCTAGATTGCGGCGGGTTACTGTGGATACAGTACAAGCTTCCATACAGTACAGGCTGCAGCGATGCAGCAGAGCTCGGTGGGGGGATGCACGTGTTCTGTATCGCTGGACCCCACGACAATTTCTGTGGATCGTGAGAGGCATTTGGCATTTCATGTGACATTTTGTTTTTTTTTGTTCTTGAAGAGTCATCCACTATTTGTGATTTTTCTTTAAGTGAAACCTTTACAACAGGTGTTAAGGCTAAACACTATTTGTTAATTAATACATACAAAGGTCCCATGTGGGTTCAGAACTTTTATTGGCATCTACTGCACTTTTAGCTACGACACCACTTTCTTCGGAAAGCAGCAGGCGTTTGGTGCCCCAACTATTGGGCTGGGTTCATTTGGAGGTGTTTCTGAGTGTACGTGGTGCAGAACGCCTTGGCACCCCCCGGTGGACCGGGTTTCGAAGCTTGTATGGCACTGGTACCCCGGTGCACCGGGTTTCTGTAAGGTCATTTCTGCCATACAAGGTCATTTTTTTCGATGCCTCAATTCTGGGCTCATCTAGGGTTTCAGTCTGTTCTCCGCACGGGCGAAGGGCAGGTTTATGTGCAAAGGTTACCTGAAACCAGGCAAACTTCCCAACCTCCCCTGTCCCTCTCTTCTTCACCACTGTCCTCTGTAGTGTTCAGGGTCGATCGCCAGTCGTTTCTTCGCTTCACCATTCGAACGCTACGCACCCGTTTCAATCTCACAAATATCAACAGAGAGCTATTCTTGGGAACACATTCAGGCTGTGGGTGGGAAGAACTGTACAACAAAGGGGTGGGAGAAGGGCCGCAAACTTCCGACCCCACGCCTGTAAAATCTCTTGCAACTTTAGCTAGAGAATGCAATGGGATGTGTCCCCGTAATCGTTAGGGTAACTTCTAGGCATTTCGCAACTTCCGAAGGAGCGCCTAGGAACTACTGCCCCCAGTTAGTGGACAGCCCCCCTGAGTCCAGACCTGATTCCGTGTGGAGAGTCTCGACCAAGTAGCGCCGCCGCGCCACGTCCCTTCATGCACGACGTCCAGCGCAGCCAAGTTCCGTTCTTGCGCCTGTGACTTCTTGGTGCTCACCGCTGGTTTGTTGCAGTCCAAATCGGTTGAGTAGGGTCTTGAGGGGAATATGAACCAATTCCTGATGACTTGACAGTGACACCCACATTTTCACTCGTCCTTACTAAGCAGGTAGTAGGTACAGTACCTGCGGCGACTTCTCTTGAACCCCACTATCATAGACGGTGCTATCTGGCAACAATTGCCTGAGCAAGCTCTCGCGGTTACAAGTTCCGAGCAACCCTTATGCACTGCATCTAATAATACGCTCCATGGCGCCCGAAAGACTCGGTCGCGATAAACCGTACAGCCACTCGTACTCGTGCGGCGATGGAAGCACTGTAGCAAGCTGGAAAGCGTCTAGATACGCGGCTGTGTGCAATGCCGCCGTTCCGGCCGGCCTGCGGCTGAACCTCAGGCTGAGTAGCCGCGTTCTCTTTGTGGTGTTTCTCGCCGCCGTTGTCGCCGTCACTCGCGACAGCAGCACGGCTATATTTTTAGGCATTTGGCGCTCCCGCTCCGTTCTTCTCGGGGATCCCGCAGGCCCTGCGGGCGCGGAGATGGCGGAACCGCCATACGAAACAACACGGGGCCGCGCTTCGTACTCTCAGCAATTTCCGGGGGACGATGCCGAGGCGGCGCCAGAGTGGCCGCCGCCGGGGCCGCCATTGTCGGCGAAAGCGGCGGCAGCGGCCGACGCAAACGTCGCACAATCTTCGGAGCGCCGCGACGGTCAATCTCTTCCCGACATTGTTGTCTGGGCAAAGGTGCTATTAGCTGTAGCGGCGCCTTGAAGTGCATGACGTAGCTACGTCATTGGTCGACTGTGCCACGCCGCGTCGCGGCGCAGTTCAGATCATGTACCTCCGGCGAAGCGCTGGGTCGTACTGATGCGGGAGACGACTCGTTTCGGATGAGCTGTGCGTGTTGCTCGTAACATGACGTGGACCGCGATGCATCGTTGATTGCCGTGCATCTCTTATCTTGCGGCACGTGGACGTGCGACACGATTATTCCACCAAGTAATTGATTGTGTTCAACGTGTCGTTGATTCTTACTGCTCTATCCGTCTGTTTTCTTCCTTACGATGGTCAAGCCAGCCGCGCCGCGTGCGGCGGCGCCGCCCCGATGTAGCAGGATGCTGCGCCGTTATTTGTCAACAGTTTCCTCTACCTCTTCGCAGTCACCGAATTTGTGATCCCCTGTATCCCCACCTTACAACACTCCTTTTCTGGTAACTACCCGCTCCGACTACCTACCACTCCCCCTTCCCCCACGCTCACACCCCCCCATCCCATTTCCGCCGACCCCCTTCCCCGTGTCTATACCGCATCACCGCAGGGCCCCTTGCACGACCGCCTAGACGCACTCTGCGCGGGCTACGGCGTTGGCGCTCTGCTTTCCGCCGCCAGTGTCGCAACATCTACAGCAACAGAAGCACAAGGAGACGCAGAAACCGCGTCTTTCACCGCTAGTGCTTCTGCTTCCACCGTCGACGGGGTGCTTCCGCTTCCGCTTCAACTCGCCTTCTCCGCAAACGACTCGCGGAGCTCCTCCCCGCGCGCCCCCCTGCATCGCCCCCTGCGCGTGGCCGTGCTGTGGCTGCCCGAACCCGCGCTGCCCCACTCCCGCGTGCACCACCTCCTCGCGCCCCTGCCGCCCCTCTCCGCGCTCGCGCCCGAGTCCAGTGGCGAAGCGGAGGGCACCGGTGGTCAAGAAGGTCAACGCGGTCAAGATGGTGAAGGCGAGGGCGCGCCGAGCAGGAGAGATGCAGCAACGGTGCTGTACCAACGGCCTGGCTGGCTTGACAGCACTCGCTACACCCCTGCGGTGCGTTGCTCTTGCTCCCAGTCACAACCTGCCTCCTCTCTACCCCACTCCTCTCTACCCCACTCCCTCTCTCCCTCTCTCCCTCTCTCCCTCTCTCCCTCTCTCCCTCTCTCCCTCTCTCCCTCTCTCCCTCTCTCCCTCTCTCCCTCACTCCCACACTCCAGACTTCGTTAGTCGCCCAACCCCCACCCCTCTAGTAACATTTGTTCCGCTCTTCGTTCCGTCTTCCTCACTCCGCACTCCCCGCTCATCTTGACAACCCCGCTCGCTCCCCCCAGTGCTGCTCTGCATCTTTACCGCCTGAACTTACCCCGTTCTTCCGCTCATTCCATTGAATGCATGTATGCATGTGTGTTGGCACGCCGGTATGCCTGCATGCATGTGTTTGTATGCGCGTGCATGCCTTGTCTCGCACGTGTTTCCCCCCATCAGAGCATCACTCTACGCATTCCTCAACCCGCATCATCGACAGAAGACCGCCAGTCGTCCCAACAAGCCTCTTCCTCCTCCACCACCTCTCACCCCTCCCGACCACTCCGCCTTTCTCTTTTCCTCGCCTCCTCTCTCTCACCCCTCCTTCCTAGCCTCTCCGCCCTCGACCAATCCCAGCTGCACACGTCACTGCACCGCTGCTACAGCCTGCTACAGCCGTCCCAGCCAGTGCAGCGGCTCATAGCCAAGGAGAACATGACACGTGTCAGACAAAGCACAGGTGTCTACCTGGAACCCGTTTCCCTCTCCACCTATCCCTCCTCCCCCTCCCCCTCCGCCTCCGCCCTCCCCTCCGCCTCCCCGCACCCCACGTGCGCCTCCTGTCCGCCGTCGCTCCTCGTCAACTGCACGGCGCGGCGCCTCATGTGGTTCTTCCTGCGCGCGCCGCACGCCGACGCCACCGTCGCCGCCTTCTTCCCCTCGCAAGCGCTCGCCGTCGCGCGCTCCTTCCACGCCAACCGCCAGCCGCACCTGCTCTCCGCCACGCTGCGCCGCGCCGCGCTGTGCCGCCCGAACCCCCGGTGGGGGGAGGCCGCTCCGCCCGAAGTTCCCCCCGCGGCGCTGAGCGTGAAAGAGAGCGAGAAGCGGTGGTGGGTGAAACAGATGGTGCGACGGATGCTCGTGGCGGGGGAGGGGGAGGAGGAGGAGATGCAGGAAGCGCGCGCGCAAGGCAGTGCGCGTGGGAGCGGCAAGGGGCGGCCGCGGAGGCAGTCGATTCTGTGCGCGCGGCTGGAAGCGGCGGAGCTGTTTGCGCTGGCGCAGGCGCGCGGACTCATCCACGCGCAACACTCCCCGCAGGCGGACCTCGTGCACGCGCAGGCGCGCGCGCGCGGAGCTGTTGTGGTGGTGCGGGATGTGAATGTCGCGCCCGAGAGTGAACCCTTGGCGGACGATAGCGGGCAAGGGGAGGAGCGCGCGGGAGAGGGGGAGGAAGGGAGAGCAGCGGGCGGAGAAGGTGGTATGGGTGAGCAAGAGGCAGCAGGGGGGGGGAGTGAGGGCATTGCGGAGAGCACGGGGAATGGGTGGGCGGGTGCTGACGGTGCGGGTGTTAGGGCTCTTCCGCGGCGCCTGAGCGCGACGGATGGTCCCAGTGGTGGTGAAGGAGGTGCAGCGGTGTGGTTTGAGGTGGAGAGGGCGCTGTGTGATGCGCCGGCCATGAAGCCCATCACGGAGCACCGCGTGGGGCAGCAGCTCATAGTGGATGGTGAGCCCACGTGCTGTGCTGTGCCATGCCATGCCATACCACCTTGGAGCTGGCAATGGGGCACGTGAGTAGGTTGTACTGCAACCAATGCGCCTTGCACCTCTTCACCTCTCACTCGATTCTCTCTCTCTCTGTCCCCTTCCCGTGCCCCTCCCTGCGCTCTCCCTTCCCTGCGCCCTCCCCGCGCTCCCCCTTGCCCCTCCCCGCGCCCTGCACACGTGCACCACTCCAGAGTCCCTGGGGGTGTTCTACTGCGCGGTACCCAAGGCCGCCTTTTCACTCGCCTCAAAAGTTCTCTCCCCGCCCCTCTCTCTGCGCCCCCCCTTGCCCCTCCCTGCCCCGTCCCTGTCCCGCGCCCTGTCAGAGTCCCTGGGGGTTTTCTACTGCGCTGTACCCAAGGCGGCGCCCTCCCTGCCCTCTCCTGCCCCTCCCTGCGCCTTCCACCCCCCCCACCCCCGCATGCGCCACACCAGAGTCCCTGGGAGTGTTCTACTGCGCGGTGCCCAAGGCGGCCTGCACCAGCTGGAAGATGTGGATGCGCCAGCAGCACCACGATCCAAACGCCGCCGACCGCGCCTCCGTGCACCGCCCCTACCGCTCGCACCTCCCGGCCGTCTGGTTCGGCATGTCCGAGCCTGAGGCCATCCGAGCCGTCACCCGGCGGGACCTGGTGCGGTTTGTGTTTGTGCGGAACCCGTTCTCACGTCTGGTGTCGGCGTACATGGATAAGGTGGTGCAGGGGGAGGGCATCGGCATGCGCATCCGCATCGGATGGACTCTGGTGAGTCAACACGTGTGGATAAGCAGGGTGTGTGAGAAGTGGGGAGGGAGTAAGGGGGGGATTTGGGTGGATGGTCTGGGGGATCTGTATGGGGTGTTTGGATGAGGGGGGAGGGATATATGGGGGAGGAGGAAAGGAAGAGGGGTTTCAGCGTGTGGGTGGGGGCATGCCTGTGTACTATCAGTGTGGCCCTCTTCCCTTTTCACTTGCTCGCCCTCTTCTGCTCGCCATCTCCTGCCATGCTGCCGTCTCACATCCTGCCATCGTCGTGCCCCTCATCCCTGTCTCCTCCCCTTCTCTCGTGTCCACTCACCTTGTCCTCCACTCCCACCCCTCCCACCCCTCCCACCCCATCCCTCCCTCCCCTCACATGCCTCCTTCTCCCCTGTCAACCCCTCCCCTCTTCCCACCTCATCTCCTCCCTCTCCCAACCCCCCCCCCTCCTCCCTCTCCCCCTCCCCTCCTCCTCTCCCTCCCCCACACCCACCACAGCGCTTCTTCTTCCGCTTGGCGACAGTCAGCCGCCAAACGCACCGCCCATTCGCCCTCTCCGACCTCGCCCACCCCTCGCGCCTCTCCCCCGCGCTCTCCCCGTGGGGCGCGCTGCGCCTGATGCTGGGCGCGGTGGTGAGCTTCAAGGAATTTACTCGCCTGGTGGAGGAGGCCCGGCGGATGGACGATCTCGTGGCCATGGACAACCACCTCGCGCCACAGGTGAGGAGGAGGCATGTTTGAGTCGGCTCAAAAGGTGGGGAAGGAAGGGCCCGTGGTGAGTGTGGGTGTGTGGGGTGGAGGAGGCCAGGCGCTTGGATGATCTCGTGGCCATGGACAACCATCTTGCCCCGCAGGTGAGGGTGGGGGGGGCTTTCCGTGCCTGTGCATGCGGAGGCGCTTAGATGAGCGCCTGGTGGAGGAGGCGCGGCGGGGCCATGGACAACCACCTTGCCCCGCAGGTGATGAGCGTCATGGATGGTGTCGTTGCCGGATGGCTGCTGCACTGTTCGCACTGAGGAGCTTGCGAGACTCCACCACCACCCGGCACTCCCTATCACTGCATGTCACGCACAGCACACCCTCCCACCCTCCCTCCCCTTCTCCCCCTCTCCCCCTCACCCTCCCTTTCGATGTTGACATATATGCTCAACCCCTTCAGCGTATAGTGTATGTACGCTATACGCTATACGCTGCGAATATGCTATACGCAGTCAGGATTTTTTAGGGCTGCCCGATAAAAAATCGCGAAATGGAAGCGGATTTCCTTGGCGAGCATTTCGCCCAAGTCGCAATGCAAATCCGTGCAAGCGGGGATTTGACTTCGAACGTTTTCAGGCACACCTGTCAAATCGAGAATTTCATATCTACCGCATTGAACCCCATCCCATCTACGAACTCCAACCTGTCAAAATCGACCCCCCAACAGACATCACGCTACTTACCAGCCAGCCCCGCTGTGAATTCGTCATTTTCGCACTTTTCATTCCCGCTTCCAGCAGACTTCCCGCCCACTCCTACTTCTCTCTTTTAGCTGAAATGTCTACCGCACCTCCCACCAAACCCGCCGTTCGGACTCAGGAGAATGCTGCTAGCACGTCTTAGTGAGAATACACTTCATAGCTCCCATTTACCTAGACTCCCTTCCAATCACCCTTCCTTCGTAACCCAGCTCAACCCCTTTCTCCCACCACTTCTCCCAATCCACGTCTCTCCCTCAACTCAACCCCTCCCATATTCCATCCCCCCCTTGCGTGCACGACTCTCCTTACTCATGCCTTCCTGTGCTGCTGAACCACATCAAGTACGACGTGGTGGCCCGGCCCCTAAAACAACATAAACCCCTGGCACGGCACTTCGTCTCTCAACCCCCTTCCCCTCTGCCACCCCCCCGTTTCATCCACCTCTCGTCCCTGCAAGCATTCCTATGCGGGCTGAACCACATGAAGTACGACTGTCCTATTCCCTTTCTTGTACCCCACCTCAACCCCTATTTTTCCCACCTTCTCCCAATCCCCATCTCTCCATCAACCCCTCCCCCTGTCCACCCTCCCCCCCCCCCCCTCCCCCCCTCGTTGCGCGCTCCTCTTCCCGCCAGACCTTCCTATGCGGGTTGAACCACATCAAGTACGACGTGGTGGGTCTATTGTGGCCCCTGAAATAGACCCCCCTCCCCCCCGTCTCTCCCTCTCTCAACCCCCTTCCTCTCTCCCCTCCCTCCTTTGCGCGCACCTCTCTCCCCTGCAGGCCTTCGTGTGCGGGCTAAACCACATCAAGTACGACGTGGTGGGTCTATTGGCTTTTAAAAAAAGACCCCCTCATCTCTCCCTCCCTCAACCCCGTTCCACGCACCTCTCTCCCCGCCAGACCTTCGTGTGCGGGTTGAACCACATAAAGTACGACGTGGTGGGGCGCTTTGAGCACATGCAGCAGGACGTGCAGGCAGTGCTCTCCGCACTCGGCAAGCCCGCCGTGGCAGAGGAAGAGCAAGGCACGGAGGCGGGCGCGGGTGCGGGGGCGGGGGCGGGGGCGCGGAGAGCAGCAGGCAAGGTGGAGGACCCGTTTGCGGCGGGCAAGGGCGTGCACTTCACAAACTCGTCCAACCGCGTGTTTGACATGATTCAAGACAAGGTGTGTGCTGCTTGTACGGTACGGGCCCACTGCTGCACGCCTCTCTGCTGCACGCCTCTCTGCTGCACGCCTACCTGCTGCAGGTTGTGTATATTCAATTGAGATTTGTAACCGATGGTACTGATTGACGTTACGGGGTACTCTGTGGGGTATTGGGTGAAAGAGCGACCAGCACAGCCAGGGAGCGCTGGACAATGCAAGCAGCGCGGGAAGGAACCTCGGTGGATTAGGCAAATCTTGACTGACAAGACGCCTTCTGCATGTGCTCTTTTGTTGCGTGGATGGTGCAGGAGACGTATGTGAGGGTGAAGCGAGTGTTGAGGTGCCTCAGAAGTTGTTTATGTGCTCTTGTGTTTCATGGATGGTGGATGTGGTGCAGGAGACGTATTTGAGGGTAAAGCGGGTATACGCCATGGACATGCACTCCACGCTCAACGACCTTTGAGTCGACTCAAAAGAGTCCAGGAAAATCTGACTGACTGAAAGCCTTGTGTATGTGCTCGTGTTGTGTTGCGTGGATGGTGCAGGAGACGTATCTGAGGGTGAAGCGGATATACGCCATGGACATGCACTCCACGCTCAACGATCTGCAGTACGACCCACCCGCAGATTTGGCAAAGAAGTTTGAAGGTTGAACCAAGGGGAATGGTGTAACATGTATGGGAGTTTGAGTGTGGGCTGGGTTGGCAATAAAGCTGCTTTAGTTGGCAGTCTGGGGCTTGGTTGGCAAGATAAGGTGTTCTTTTCTATTTGTTTTTTTTTTTTGCCCTCAAGGGTTTTGGGGAAAGGTAATAAATCATATGATGTATCATTTGGTCATATCCTGTACAATATTGGAAGAAATTCTGTCACACTGCAGGGCTTTACTACCGGTATATATGAGGACATTCTTTATGTCAAGACATGAGAGGGCTGTTTTTATCAGGGTAATTACCCTGATTTCAGGGTGATTTCAGACCTTTCAACTTGTGACTGAATTTCCAGAACTAAGGTAGTGAATTCTCAACCCTGATCCAGTCAGAGTAGTAGTTTTGTTATCCCTGATTTAGAGTATAGTGTAACAGACTAACCTGTTAGTGATCCACTGTGGTCCCTGAATTTGACCTTATCGAGACGAAGTTTCGCGGAAAATTCCTTCCGATAACCCCTCCTTCGGATTGGTCGCAGTACAGTGTCAAGTTGTAATTGTATGCTCTAGGCTGTAGTGGGGCATACTCTAGTGAGTACAACCCCTTAGGGTTTCCTACTTGTACTCACAACCCTAATCAATCCACACTTCACTTCTTGACATGGTTTCAGAGTAGGTCCCGGTTAGGACCGTTTTTTTTTAGGGCCCACCGTTAGTTCCGCTTGTTCCTGCCCGTATCGCCCTTGCGTTGTCCTGCCCTTCCCGAAGAGAGTCGCGCTGCCCTGCTGTCAAGCGCTCTGCCTGCCCTAGCGCGCTGCCTGCTGCACGCGCTGCTTGCCTTAGCGCGTCGCGCTGCCCTGCTCGCGCTGCCTGCAAGCGCGCTGCCCGTGCTCGCTGCGCGCCCTGCCTGCCCGCGGCGCCTGCTGCTCGCGCGCTGCCCCTGCTGCTCGCGCGCTGCATTTGCTGCCCGCGCGCTGCTCGCCCTGCCCGCGAACTGCCCGCGCGCTGCTGCACCTGAGCTACTGCTGCCGCACGCGCTGCTGCGCTGTGCCCTGCCAACCGCGCTGCCGCGCGCTGCTGCTGCTGCTGCTGCTGCATACGCTGCTGCTTCTGCACGCGCTGCTGCGCTGTGCCCTGCCGAGCCGCGCCGCGCCGCGCCGCCCTGCCCAAACCGCGCCGCGCCGCGCCGCCCTGCCCGAGCCGCGTCGCCCTGCCTGAGCCGCGGCGCCCTGCCCGAACCGCGCCGCCCTGCCCGAGCCGCGCTGCCCTGCCCCTACAGAGCTGCACTGCCTTGCTGCTGCTGCTGCTGCTCCTGCTGCTACTACTGCTACTGCTGCTGCTACTGCTACTGCAGCTGCTGCCACTACCGTTCTGCTGCTATGGCGACACCTACTGTTCTCACCTTTGACGGAGAGGGTCACCCGGTAGACTTCGAATCCTGGTTAGAGGATCTCCACTGGTACCTGCAGAGCCAGACTAGGGAGGATGTCTCACTTTTTGAGCATACCTCTGGGACCCTAGACGCCCCTGCTGCCACAGCTATTCGTGTAGACCAGTCCAGGTGGGCGTCTCGTGACGCTACTGCTGCTCTTTCTGTCCATAGCCACCTTCCGCTAGACCAGCGCTCCCACTTTCGCCAGCTTAAGACGGCCAAGGCGCTTTACGACGCTGTAGTCATACGCTACTCGTCACCGTCGTCTGCCACTGTAGGCCGTCTAGCGCTGCCATTCCTCTTTCCCGAGCTGTCGGACTTCACCACTGTAGCCGACCTCATGACTCACCTGCGCTCCCTTGAGACCCGCTACGCTGCTGCCCTCGAGCCCACCTTTAGGGCTGAGAACAAGCCACCTATTTATCTCACCCTTTACTTTCTCACGACCCGCCTCCCTGACTCCCTTCGTGCTGTACGCGACCACTTCCTCGCCCTAGACCCCACGAAGATCACCCTCCACACGTTCGAGTCCCGTCTCTTAGAGGCGGAGTCCGCTGCCCTAGCTGTTGCTGCCTCTCGTGGCACTCCCCACCCCTCTGTCTTTGGAGGGTGCTCCCCCTCCCTGCTCGCGTCGTCTGTTGCCTCTGCTGCTGCTGTTGACCTCTTCGGTGCTGAGGATGTCGGTGCTGCTTTTGCTCCTAGTGGGAAGCGCCGCAGCGGCAAGGGCAAGGGTGGCGAGGGTGGGGGTGGCGGGGGTGGTGGGGGTGGTGGGGGCAGCGGTGGTGGCGGTGGAGGTGGTGGGGGAGGAGGAGGTGGAGGCGGCAGGGGAGGAGGCGGGGGTGGAGGGAGCAGTGGGGGTGGTGGCGGTGGTGGGGGTGGCACTAGTGGTGGAGCTGGAGGAGGAGGGGCTGGAGGTCCGGCCACTCGTTCAGCTGCGTCTGGTGGTGCAGCGGGGGGTGGAGGTGGCTATGGGGGTGGCCAGCACCAGTAGACGAGCCGCCAGGCGCAGCTCTCGCCGCAGCAGCTTCGTGAGTGGGGGATCCGCCGTGGCAGTTCAGGTGGCCCACCTCGCTGCGGGTACGTCCGTCGCACAGGTCAGCGTGAAGCGACCTGCGCTTGCACCGACCACACCGAGTCTTGTTGCTTCTTTCGCCTCGACGATCTGTATCGTGCGGAGCATGGTGAGCACATGAAGACTCCTGACTGGCTCGCTTTGCTGAGGCAGGACATAGATGTTTTTGCTTGTGACTGGGCTGTGATCCATGCTGGCATGTATGCGATGTATGCTGCTTCTGCTAGTGTTGAGGAGGAGTGTTACTCGTGTGTGCCTAGAGTTGCTAGGGTAGAGGCTGCTAGTCTTGGTGTTTTTGACTCAGCTAGCACAGCTGCAGAGCCTGAGGAGGCCTTGCACACTTTTACTCTCGACTCAGGTGCGTCTCGTTGCTTCTTCCGCGACAGCACCACAGTCACACCGCTCACAGTCAATGTCCCTGTCACACTGGCCGACCCCTCCGGGGGCCCGGTAGTCGCGCGTGGCGCCACTGTTCTCCCTTGTCCGGCGGCCCCTTCCGGCCTCATCACAGGTCTCCACCTCCCCTCGTTCGCTAAGAACTTGGTGGCTACCTCTGTCCTCCAGGACCAGTGGGTCACTGTCACCCAGCCTGGAGGCGAGCTAGTGGCGATCTGTACGGACTCGCGCACTGGTGAGCACCTCGCCACGTTCACTCGGGGGCCTGGGTCTGGCATGTACACACTGGCCACTGAGTCTGCACTGGTAGCTGAGTCAGGTCAGGTAGCTGCGTCGGTTGAGGTCGCTTCGTCTTGTTCGTGTCGTCTCCTCACGCACCAGACTCTCCTCTGGCACCACCGTCTTGGCCACCCCTCCTTGCCACGCCTGCGTGGCATGCACTCCCGTCTCCTTGTGTCTGGTCTCCCCAGGTCCCTGCCCCCGCTCCCGAGGTCGCTTGCACCGCCCTGGCTTCCCTGCGTCGAGGGGCGGCAGCGCGCCGCTCCTCACTCCTCCTCGTTTCCTCCTACCACTGCTCCTCTGCAGACCCTGCACATGGACGTGTGGGGCCCGCCCGCGTCACTGGACAGGGTGGCAAGCGCTACTTTCTGCTGGTTGTCGACGACTACACGCGCTACACCACGGTCTTCCCCTTGCAGAGCAAGGCGGATGTCCGCGGTGTCTTGATCCGCTGGATCCGCTCTGTCCGTCTCCAGCTTCGCGCTCGGTTCCAGCAGGACCTCCCTGTCCTGCGGCTGCACTCTGACCGAGGTGGTGAGTTTTGCTCGCGCCTCCTTGCAGACTTCTGTGGTGCTGAGGGCATCGTCCAGTCGTACACGCTTCCGGCATCTCCACAGCAGAATGGGATTGCCGAGCGCCGCATTGGTCTTGTCATGGAGGTTGCTCGCACATCCATGATCCATGCGGCTGCTCCCCATTTTCTGTGGTCGTTTGCGGTCCGATACGCCGCTGAGCAGCTCAACCTCTGGCCCCGTGTCTCCCACCCGGAGACCTCCCCCACTTTGCGGTGGACGGGCGAGGTTGGTGATGCGTCGGCGTTTCGGGTCTGGGGTTCCCTCTCTCTTGTCCGCGATTTGCCTGCGGGCAAGCTCTCTCCACGCACTCTTCGGTGCGTGTTCCTTGGCTTTCCCACCGACGCACCGCCCTGGCAGTTTTACCACCCGGGCTCTTGTCGTGTGCTGTCCTCCCGCGACGTCACCTTTGACGAGTCCGTCTGCTTCTACCGTCTTCACCCCCACCACAGTTCCCCGGTATCCCTCCCGCCTCTCTCCCTGGTGGACGCCCCCCCCCCCCCGATAGCCCCCCTCCCTCCTCCCGGTTCCGCTCCCTCAGGTGTGTCTCAGGTAGACCCACCCCTCTTGGTTGAGCCTTTGGAGGTCTTCTCAGACACCTCTGGCCCAGCTGAGGGGGGTGACCCGACTCCTGCTGCCACCGTGACCCCTCGCCGCTCTGCACGCTTGGCGGTCCCTCCTGGGTTTCAGCCTCGACCGTCTTCACCGCCGCTGCAGCCTGTCGCTGTGGACAATGGTGCTGCAGGAGGTGGTACCACTAGGGGTGCTGGTTCTGGGGGTGCTGAGTGTCCTCTGGGTACAGGAGTTACTGGAGGTACTGGTGCTAGTGGTCCTGCTACGAGTCGGCAGGAGCCTCTCTCGCCGGAGCGGCTTCGCGAGTGGGTTGTCCAGTGGGGCAGCCCTGGTGGTGGAGCTAGCCGTCTTAGAGCGGGAGGTGCTGGGACTGCTGGAGCTGGAGGTGCTGGCACTGCTGGAGCTGGAGGTTCTGCTACTGGTGGTACTGGGGTTGCTCGTGCTGGTAGCACTGGTGCACGTCGGCAGGCGACTCTCTCGCCGGAGCGGCTTCGCGAGTGGGCTGTACAGTGGGGCAGCCCTGGTGGTGGAGCTAGCCGTGCTCGCTCTCCTAGAGCTGAAGGTACTGGAGGTGCTGCTGCAGTGGGTACTGCTGCGGGCAGTCCTGGTGGTGGTGCTGGACGTGCTGGAGCTGCAGGTTCTGGAGGTGCTAGCCTTGGAGGTGCTAGTGCTGGTGTTCCTGG